TAAATAATAAATTATCTTACAGTAAAATACATTTTAGTAGAATCTCGTATATGTTTTTTTTTGTTTTTTTTTTTTTAAAAAAACAGATGAGGACTTTACTGGTACTCAGTGACAAAATAGCATGGAATGATTTGGGAAAGACCTCTCTCCTCTAACATTATCATACTATCTTTGATTAAGACTCAGCTTTTATTTCAATTGCTTCAGCTAATAAAATGAAGTTAAAAACAACTTGGCTAACTTTCATGTCTGCAATAAAACAGTGTGTCAAAAGAATGTCTTTTTTTTCCCCTTTAACACTTGCTTTTATTTAATACTCCCTTCCTTCATTCCATCGGTAATATTTATTTTAAAAAGTGATTAGTATTTTTATAAAACCTAAACATATGAAAGTGGATTTATACATTTTCTTTATTCTTGAGAATTGATAACAATAATTCATTGATATTTTTATAAAATTATGAATAAAAAAAACCTGTTCATAGTTATTTATAAAATGGTAAATAATGAATATTACATTGTAGTTGGTTTATATATTTTGATAATTTAAAAAAAAATTAAATTTATTTCTTTATAAAATGGAAAATAATAAATCTATATAAAAGGTAAATGATGAATATTACATTGTACTTGGTTCACATATTTTTATAATCTTGTAAATAAACATTTCCGAGGAAGTGAAATATGTTTACAGTAATAGCAGTGTCAAGTGAGTAACTGTCCTTCTGACACACTTTTTTTTTTTTTTTTTTTTTTTTCTTCATGGGCTTGAAGGTTAAACATTGCCAAAAACTTAATCCAATATGTACATTTTTTTTTCCCTCTCATATTTTCTCATTTAAATCCTGTCAATGGCAGAGGAAGATTAACTGATAATTAAGAGAGAAAAATGTTAAATAAAGCCTGTGAAAATGGTCCTGGGCTTTGTGCCAGTTGAAATGCAAGAATATCTCTCGTTCATCTCGATTGCTTGAAGTTAAATCATTCATTATCTTTCCCAGTACTGAATTTTCCCCCTCTTGTCTTAGATTGCAAAATTTAATCTGTGGAAAATTGCCCATTGTATGTATATTTGAAAATCTGAATCCAAAGATGTAATCTTTTAAATACTAAAAGTGAATACTTGATTATCTACACCTCCTTCAGAAGGAGAGGGTAGACTTTATTAATGATCATCAACTTGCCTGTACTTAACTTAAATGTTCCTATTACATTACTTGTGAATTGAGAATATGAATAGTTCAAGCCTTTATGCTCTCTCAGCCACGTTCAGTTACACAAATCTCTTTTCAAACTGTTGTCAGAACTTCCTGTGTTGATCAGACTTGTCATATATGAAAGAGTTGAATCTTCCTAGCCAGCACAGTTTCAGATTAATTTGGGGAAACGTACAGCACCTGTCGATTATCCTTTACATAAGAGGAATGTGAGAATTCTCAACTTTATAGAAAGAAATCAACTGAGAAAAATAGAAAGATTTAAAACGAGCATTATGCATCTATATGATACAGTGGGTCCCTGCTCAATTGTTTAGTCCAAATGGATTATATATATGATTTTATCAAGGCCTGGAGAGCAATAGTGGTTTTATGACAGTCACTGTCTATCAGTAGAGGAAAAAATGAAATGTATAAATAACTTTCAGGATCAAGTGACACTTGGCTGGAAGGTAGAGAATTCTAGTTACAGGCCAATCTGTATTGTAAATGAGTCAGTGAGTCATCTGTGGGGAGGAAATCATGATTAGAGTAAGAAATATAGAGGAAAACAGTATTTGCTGGTCAAAGAGTAGATCTATTCCTTTCGTCTGTCATGAGAGAAGACAGAAGATACTGCAAAGATATCCCAAGTGTCACTTTTCTAATCATAGACTGTACAAGGTGAACTTGATTTTATTGAATGATTTGGCTTTCTACGGTTTATCAACCATTTGCAGGTTATTTAAAGCCAGAAAATATTTTTAGATTGTTAAATTTTTAAAAAAAAAATTTTTTATTTTTATTTTTTTTTAAGGTAATGATTTAGTGATACAAGTCTTACTAATTAATCCATAGCTGGGAGGTCAGAAGAGGTGGATTCATACCTTTCCCATGGGTATTTGCACTTAAGTGAACATAACAAATGCAACTAAAATTGGAACTCTGCTCTTAAATTAACAATTCCAAGCCATTATCCATTACACTACCCACACATCCAAGTTTACAGCACCCGATATTCCCAAGCATTTAAGTACTAACCAGACTCTACGTAGCTTAACTTCAGTGATCATACTGTAACCAGTATTTCAGTGTGATGTGGCCATAAAAACACATTAATCTGTACCCCAGTTACTGTACAAATTTTTCACTGTGGTAATTGCCACAATTCTTTAGACAAAATCATATTGATGACAAACTCAGTTGTACCAAATGCACGTTATCTGGAATCTCTTATTCTGTTGATCTGTTCTCCTGCAGATAGAATACTGTCTGAGGGACCTGAACATATGTTAACACATTTACAGCAAAGATAAAGACATTAGTTTAAATGTAATTAACTTGAATAAGGACTCATCATCACAGAAATTCAGAGATTAGGGGGAACTTTTTAACACTTCCAAAATTAAGAAGGAACAAATGATCATAAATTTTATAATTTTTATTTTTAGATGCATTGCACAATGCTTCTTCAGTTTTTTTGCATATTGAAGATTTTGAATGCTAAATTTTTTTTTTTTAATCATTTCACCCCAAGCAAGGCAATAAAGCTGCTAGAATGCAAGTGGTTACTGAGTGTTAGAGAATGAGAAAAAAATTGCTATTAGGGAGAGAGGACAATAAAAGAACAAAATTAAGAAGACAGTAGATACTGATTGACGTTATATTTAAATTTTTGAAGATCAAAGTTGAGTGAGAAGCCAGAAGAATTCCACAAGCGAGAAGTGCAATAGAAGAAACTGTTAGCATAGAACTTACATGGTTACATCTAGACATTTCAACTGTAAAATGATGTGACCCTGCTGCCAATCTTGTACTGCTCTTAAATTCATAAAGTGTATGTGCCATAGCAGAAATTTCATCAGAACAATTACCATGAAAGTATTTATTGAAAAGGTACAAGCAAGCCTCATTACTGAGGTGGATAAGGAACTGAAACTGAGATGCCAGGTCAGGACCAATAACATTGCAGATTCATTTTTGGATTGTATCAAGAATCTCTAAATACATAGCAGGAACACTGGTATATATATTTTCTGTTCTCAATTTCTAGTGACATAAGCTCAGAAATCTTTGCTTTTGTTACCATTCTAAAATTACCTTATTATTGGCAGTAACAACTATTGCTTCTGATGTGTGCACAGTTGTCCTGGAAAGACTGTAATGCCAATCAGTGACAAGAAAATATGAGGAAGACAGGATGTAGAATATTAGCTTGGAAGGTTTCTTTATTATATTCAAACAGCTTGGTGGTTTTCAAGGTCCTGATGAGATGAGCAGACGTTATATGAATGACACAGGGATGGGATAAAAATGATTGAACAAAAAAAATCATTCTCCTATAGCACAGTGGTTCTCAAACAGTGCAGTGTGCCTCATTGGTGAGGTGGAATAATTGTCAAAGGTTTAGAAACAGTTTAAAAAAATTCATATATCGAAAATAAATATGATTTAAAATATGGATTACTTATGGCGGCATGGCCTGCTGTCTTTGGTCAGGATCAATCCTGGTATCGGAGAACAAGCCGTCAGCCCACACTTGTCAGTCATTGATGGCATTTGACACAGCAGCTGGTCTTTAAGTTGACCTCTTCAACTATGACCTTTCTTACCCATGTCGTTATTTTGAGAGTGTCAAGCTCTGGGGTATCTCAAACAAGCTAAACGAAGGAGTTGAATACACGCACACAAAATTGAATATAAAATAGACGACGCCTGAATAAGTCACTATATGATATTTATATCAAAAAATAAAAAATATTTACAGTTTTTTTTTTTTTTTTTTTCTTCTTTTTCCCAACCTGTTCCTAATATTTGGCGATGAAACAAAAATTTCGGCTAACTTCTCTAGGGTGGCCAGACTTTACAACTGGATTTATCTTCAAGTACTGTTGTTTGTACTTTCTAGAATAGCGCAAGGTTATTGTTGGAGTTTTTCTTCTTCAGCAGACAATTATTAAGAGTTTAGAAATAATGGTTTAGTGATACAAGTCTTACTAATTAATCAATAAATGGGCAGATTCATATCTTTCCCAATGATATTTACATTTAAGTGAATATAACAAACCGAACAGGAATTTGAACTCTGTTTACCATGCCATTATCCATTATACTCTTCGCACAATCAAACTTACAACAACTGATGTTTGCAAGCAGTTACCCATCTAGGTACGGATCATGCTCTATGTTGCTTAACTTCAGCAATCATACTAGACCTGGTGTTTCAACATGTGACTGTAAGCCCTGTCAGATTCAAAATCCGACCACTTCTTCATGCAAAAATATCAGATTTAGTTATTTTTCTAGCCAAGAAGACCCAGTTTGGTTACCCATCTAGGTACAGATCATGCTCGATGTTGCTTAACTTCAGCGATCATACAAGACCTGGTGTTTCAACATGTGACTGTAAGCCTAGAAGACATACTTTGGATAGACTTAAGGCTATCCTCTGTGGTGGGCTTTTGGGCCTTCAGACACTTACACATGTAAAAGTTATAAGAGTTTAAAAATAAGATTATATTATTTTTATTCGACACTTTCATTCAGCACAATATTTTATTGTATACACAACCGAGCTCCGTAATTTGTTGACTTTTATTTTGTGCAGTTTTCATTTTCTTTTAAAATCACCATTCTTTATGATCCCTTCACATAAAGTCCCTCTTAAAAGACATTAGGGAACCAAAACTATATAATATTTTGAATACGTCACAGTACGCATGCTAGAAAAAGAAACATGAGCAATGTACTGTGCCCCGTTTAAATTTTAATTATGGTTTAATTAGTATCAATTGTGATGAAAAGTGAAATTAAAGTTAAACCTTTAATAAAAAAATTCTTTTTCTTTTTTTTTTTTTCCTCTTTTTTTTTTCCTCTTTTTTTTTTCCTCTTTTTTTCTTCTCTCTTTTCTCTTCTCTCTTTTCTCTTCTCTCTTTTCCCTTCTCTCTTTCTCCTCTTCTCTCTCTTTTCTCTTCTCTCTTTCTCTCTCTTTTCTCTTCTCTCTTTTTTTCTCTTCTTCTCTCTTTTCTCTCTTCTCTCTTTTCTCTTCTCTCTCTTTTTCTCTTCTCTCTTTTCTCTTCTCTCTTTTCTTCTCTCTTCTCTCTTTCTCTCGTCTCTCTTTCTCTTTTCTCTCTTTCTCTCTCTCTTTTCTCTTCTCTCTTTTCTCTTCTCTCTTTTTCTTCTCTTTTCTCTTCTCTTTTCTCTTCTCTCTTTTCTCTTCTCTCTTTTCTCTTCTCTCTTTTCTCTTCTCTCTTTTCTCTTCTCTCTTCTCTCTTCTCTCTTTTCTCTTCTCTCTTTTCTCTTCTCTCTTTTCTCTTCTCTCTTTTCTCTTCTCTCTTTTCTCTTCTCTCTTTTCTCTCTTCTCTCTTTTTTCTTCTCTCTTTTCTCTTCTTTCTCTTCTCTTCTCTCTTTTCTTTTCTCTCTCTCTTTTCTCTTCTCTCTTTTCTCTTCTCTCTTTCTTCTCTCTTTTTTCTCTTCTCTTTTCTCTTCTCTTTTTCTCTTCTTTTTCTCTTCTCTCTTTTCTCTTCTCTCTTTTTCTCTTCTCTCTTTTCTCTCTCTCTTTTCTCTTCTCTTTTTCTCTTCTCTCTTTTCTCTTCTCTCTTTCTCTTCTCTCTTTTCTCTTCTCTTCTCTTTTCTCTTCTCTCTTTTCTCTCTCTTTTCTCTTCTCTTTTTCTCTCTCTTCTCTTCTCTCTTCTCTTCTCTTTTCTCTTCTCTCTTCTTCTCTCTTCTTTTCTCTCTTTTTCTCTTCTCTTTTCTCTTTTCTCTTTCTTTTCTTCTCTCTGTTTGATATTTAACTTTAAATGAGTTATTTAATTTTTAATTGCGTGTAACTACAGTAGTTACTACATGTTACTTCAGATTGTTTGATTCACCAAGATTGAAAAATCAATGGACATACACACATACACTGCACTTTTATTTATATAGAAGATTCAAAACTGTTGAAAAAATAAAATGTTGTCCACTTTGTGTATTTTCTTATTAGTTTATTTTAGTTCCTCTACGGATTATAAAATTTGATGTATAAATTTGTTTTTAACTTTAAATTTCATGTTAAGTTCTCAGCTGGTGAAACGTTTGACGTTTTCTATTTGCTGAAAGCATTTAATGTTTAATGTGTAGCAGTTATTTTTGGACGTTGATTTCTATTGATTTTTTCTTCTTCAAATGTTGAGCTGTAATCCAAGCATTAAAATGACACTTGAGATTTCTGAGAAATACTTGCTATTCTAACCTTTTACTCTCCAGTTTAAAATAAAGGGAGAGTGGAAAAAAACTGGAGTTGTAGGTAGGATTAGTTTAGAACACGGTTGTCCAAACCATGGGCCACAGTGTGGCCCACTTGATATTTTTGTGTGGCCCACTGCACCCTAAAATCTTTAGGTATATTTTCATTTACTTTAGTAACACATCAAATTATTCTCTGATTGTGCTAGCAGGTTCACTGTCCAATTGCACTAAAAAGGGGGAGAGTTCAAAGGCCTTTGCTGAGACACACCGGCTGGTGTGTGGGGCAAGATCCAGAGCTAAATAAAAATTATTTAGCTTATCTAGAAAACTGTTATGCATGTGGATGGAAGGAGGGTAGTACATACTGCTGTGAACAATTCTTTTTTGTGCATGAAAAACATCAAAACTACTGAAAGAAATAGGCTGAGTGATTCCCCATTCAGTTATGTTAGTTACATTCTTAGAATAAAAACTAGTGCCGTAAAACCAAATATTCACAATATTATAAAAGGAAAGAAATGTCAAAAATCACACTGAATTTATTTTATTTTGTGTATGTAATAATTTTTTTTTATACTGTCAATAATACATTATTTTTTGTAATCATACTTATAAAACCCAGGTTGTGTGTGTCTGTTCGTTTATATATTGGATCGGATTTCCTACATTTTTCAACTGATTTCGACAAAACTTCACAGGACTACGTAAAATTACCTTGCAGTGGTTCTGACAGCGCCAAAAATTGGAAAAACACAAATGTTTTTGCATGAAATCAATTTGAAAACACGATTAAGAGGCATCACTGTCGCCAGAATGAAAGGGGGACAACTCATATCGAGTTATACTTATGATAAAACCCAGGTTGTTTGTGTGTGTGTGTTCGTTTATATATGGGATCGGATTTCCTACATTTTTCAACAGTTTTCAATAAAATTTCACCTTTTTTTTTTTTTTTTTTTTATTTTTTGGCAGGTATTGTTTCTTATTGTCTTGAACACTTTTTTCTTTATTTTTACATTCAGAATGCTTTAAAAATTCCATTTACAAGACAATTGTTTATAATAAAATTCTATTCAATCAGTAGACTCATAATGATTGAAAACAATGTTTTTGTTTGGGTTTGACCGATTCGTAAGAAAAAGAAAAAAGCTAATTAAGACATGTGTGTCCGTCAACCTTAAACAATAATCTTTGTCAATTTTATTTTTCAGTCTTTATGATGGTCGATACTTGATCTATCTCTTACTGTTACATCCCCAGGCAACGCCGGGCTCTACTACTAGTTATATATATTTATTAAAATTTGATATTCACGTTTTGAATTTTTTAAAAGCATGTTTATACAAAGTACTTTTATGGTTCGGTGAATATACCTAAATTTCTAATTTGGCCCATTAAGAAAAAACGATTGAACAACCCTAGTCTAGAACAGTGTTTCTCTACTGATGTGTTCCTGAAACCTTAAAGTTCTGCTAGAGGTCACGAGGAGTTCTGATATAAATGATGCTAATGCATTTTTTTGAGTAATTTTTAATTTTATATTCACAATTTTAATATATACATATGGCAGATTGTTGGAAAATCCTTGGTTATTATAAAAGGCTCTTATATTATTTAAAATTATAATAATCATAGGGGATGTATTCAGCGATGTCTATATAGTGTCAGTGTGAAACCATTTTCATTGCTTAGTGGACAGGACCTGTACGTGGCAGCTTCAAATATCAAGAAGTTGAGTGCATGGTATCCATATATTGTTTTTACCACGGGAACTACGATAAAAAATATAAATGTGATAGATATTAACCTTTACACACAGTCCATAGTTATATTCTCCTCTATGGGGGTGGTCTTGCTCAGAAGAGGTGTCTGCGAAATGTTGAACCACTTTTCATGGTTGTCCTGATGTTATATAAACCAGAGAGATATATAGATGACACCTTCATACTCTGGCCATAACAGGAAGGGGGTCCAGCTACTACTGGACAATGTGAACTCAATAAGATCATTGATACAATTCATAATGGCAAGAGAGAGTGACAACAAACTCGCATGTACTAATCTTGAACAGAGCATTGGTTCAAGACCTCTGTATACTGCAAGCCAACATTCACCAGAAAATACCTCAACTCTCACTACCCATACAGTGTAAAGAAATGGATCATCCATTGTTTACAACATTGAGCAAAAGTCGTAAGTGGTGACCTGGTACATGATCAAGAAATGGTCAGTATAAGCAGTACCCAACAATGTAACAGCTACCCTGGGTACGTGGCAGCCACTCTGACAAACTGGGATAGAAGGATACAAGAGGATAACAACATTCAGAAAACAGCTTCGGTTTGCCCTACTCTATGTAAAAGGATTATCAGAAAAATACAAAAGATATATTGTCTATATAACATTATGGATGACCTTCAATAGTGGTTCGGTACTTCGCAAACACCTCTTCTGAGTAAGACTCCTCCCCCCCTCCCCGATAGAGGAGAACATGTCTGTGTATGCCATCCCGTGCAGTTGTGGTAAGAAATATAAAGGAGAAACAGGTTGCCCTCTTCAGCTAAGACTGCAAGAACATCATAAAGCTGTAATGTGAGGGGGGGGCGGAATAGAAAATCAGGCATAGCTGACCACAGTTGGAGGTTAAAAGGGAGATCACTGCGCCCCCTGTCGGATGAGGTTGAAATAATAGACAACCTCACTGAAAATATGATAACTTAAGGAATCGGCACATATGCTTGGCCACAAAAATCTAAGCTGGCCAGGCACAGAAATCAGTGCAATATGGGAACAAATAAAAACAGTGCTAGAGAAAAGCAATAACAAAATTGCAATATGAGCTCTGGTTTTAAAAAATGTGGTTATTGAGACATTAAGTTTATAAGTCTCAAAAATTCATACAATGATGTCTTCAAAGACATATAGCCCAAGTGTTGGTTGGATGCAGTGACTTAAATAGTTAACAAAAGTTGGGGGGGGAATGTTGAGTTAAAGGGAGATAACTGAAGTATCCAGAAGAGGCATGGCACGGAAACTACCCTGGTGGACAAAATAAGGAGTTCAGTTAGACATTCCAATCACCTGAAGAAGCGTACAATGGCCAAAATGTGAATATGGCAATAAAAATGAGGACAACAGTCCAACAATATAAATAATGTCAATAATTAGTCGTCTTCTTTACGTCTGTCTTTTCTTCTTACATGAAGTATTGTCGACCATAATTAATTTTGACTAGTATTTACTTTCATCTTAGTTGCTTTTTATTGCATCCTTATTCAGGCTGTCAACCTACAGCAGCAGTTTAGACAACAAAGATTAAAAATAAGCTGTCATTTATATTTGAACTTGTCCTTTTTTTGCCCCAGGCAAGCCTAGTTGAACAAAGCAGCTGCTTTAATTGAATCTCACAAAATCTGATCCTTTTACTTGCAGCTGAATCATTTTTGTGATAAAATGACAGTACAAGTAAAAATTGAATAACTGTTGTTAGTGTTTTAATTTAATAAAAATGCTTTTTCTAATGGTAAATGAGCACCATGACATTATTCACTCCACCAGAATTTTGGAAATGGCATGCTGTATTGCTTGGCATTCACATCGGAAGCTTCAATACAAATATTTCAGAGTGTTTGGGTGTTAATCTGAGGACAGAGCAGAGGATTAGGAAATAGTTGGATGAGTCTAATGGTGATTATGAAGGTACAACAGCTTGGAAAACTCACTCTGATCATTGATAAGAAAAGAACTCTGAATTTGTTGGTGAGGGCCTCAGACTCAACATGGAGACCTACATCAAGTACCTTGAGGAGGTAGTGCTGCCCTTGGTCAAGAGGGTGACTACTGGAAGACCCTATATCATATTTTTCCAATTATCAAGAGTTTAATTTACTCTTTAGTATTTCAAGATATATTTATGAAAATTAAACAAAAATATGTTAAAATGAGATGTCTGTTATTTTCATTTTTGCATAATTTAGAAGACAATTTATCCATTGCACCCTGTACAATTATGGCCATGAGAAAGACTGAAATGAGTGGTGAGTATAGGTTAGATTTGATCTTCTTTAAAGCTGTTCATTAATAATTGGCAATTCTGACAAGAAACTTTTGTGAATGGTCAGTCGTAAATTTTGGCTTTCTTTGGCAGCCTTGATGACTTTTTTGATTTTATTGCATAATGGAAATAGTCAAAAGTACAAAAAACATGAATTTGGTACAGTTTATCCACAATTTTGGCTTGAATGTTCTGTGACTCTTTTGAAAATTGAAAAAATACAAATAAAAATCAAAACAAAAATAAACAGATTTTAATACAATTTACTTTATAGAATGTTGTTTCAACCAAGTAACCTTCTGGTCATTTTCAGTGAATCAAAACAAGCTTTTATCTAACTGTCATGATAGTGAGATGCTGAAATCATGTGACTTTGAATTTAAATTCTCTAAAAGACATCCCAACCTATTCATAGATGGGATAGTGGATATAGGCATTGGGGAATGAAGTGTTGATGTCACTTAGTGGTGGAGAGTTCAATTCCTGAATCAGGTAGTGTCATTGTGGTTCAGAAAGTATGAACCAGAAAATAACACTGCTTCTCATATCCGTCAAAATAATTGAAACCTGAAGATGGCCAGATGGTACTTGGTTGAAACATGTTTATTTAATTTGCACTTTATAGAACTTCTTTTTTTTTTTTTTTAATCTGTCTTGTATTGATTTTCAGTGTAAGGAAATAAATTGATTTGTAGAAAAATCCCCTAATGCACTTTCCTAAAAATTCTGATGATGCTGACCTTAACCTGTAAGAAATTTCTGGCTAGCATGGGGATTATTATTATTATTATTATTTTTTTTTTTTTTTTTTTTTTGTTTTTCCTCTGAAATGCCATGTCCCTTCAGGATGTAGACAATCCTGACACTCCATGCAATTCTTGCCTTTATTAGCCAAGAATTGCCATGCATTCTTGGGAAAGATAGTGGATTGGTTTCTCATTAACTTCTCTACACCATGGAATTCAATATTTTCTTTCTCATAGACTAATTGCTACCCTGGACTAGCAAGTTGAATCTGTTATTTAACTCATAGCTGGGGAACTGAAGCGAATGCAATAGACTCACCTGGAATTTGAACTTTTCTCTCTAATTTTGCTTTATAACAATATTATTATGCAGCTCCCTTTTCTCTCTCTCTCTCTCTTTTTTTTTTTTTTTTTTTTTTCTCTCTCTCAAATAATCAATTCACCCCAAACAAGGCAATAATACTTCAGAAGGAACCTGAAATGCAATCTTAAACAGGAAATAAGGAATAAATCTCTACTCCTGTTTAAAAGCTGGGGAGGCATGTGAACCAGATGATAAGCAAACCTATCTATTAACTTTTGTTCTAGAATTGAGATAACAATTAACCATAACTTATGCAAGGTCATGGCCATCCACAACTTCCCATCTTTTGTTGATCTAAGTAGTTTTGACTATTTAGCATATTTCTGCCATCCTTTCACACAAATTTGTCCAATTGTGCAACATGCCATTTCAAGCTACTTTTCTTGCCTTCAGTATGCCCTGTGAGTGCTAAAATTTCTGAGCCCACTTTCTCATTATGTGGCCCAGAAATTTGGACTTTTTCTTTCAGATTGTAAGTCTTTTTTTTTTTTTTTTTTTTCCAGAATTATTGTTTATATATTCTGTCTGATATTCTCAATATAACATGATAATCATCATCACTTGTAGTCTCTTTACCTGTGAGGAAATTATCCAGCTTTCCTGTAATTAAGGAGAACAGATATTGCATAACAGTTTGTTGCAATGTTTTTGCAACAACCACAATAATTATACTGTTGATCCTTTCATGTAGAAGATGAATGTAGATATAGTTGTTGGTTAGTTAAGTGTTACTGTCACTTAGGTGGGATCTTATAGATTTTACTAGCTGATCCAGGGATTGAACTCTCGTTCAGTAGGAATGAATGCCAAATGGCATCACAAACAAAAATATCCCCTACCAGGTAAAAATAATGGACATCTGAAGATATCTTGAAATGAATTGGACAAAAGCTGAAAACAGTATTTTAATTAAATCAGTTTCAAAATACTTGGACTTTTTTGTATAAATTATTTCATTTTTATTTTCAGGCAAGTGCAGTCAGTCACATTAAATGGAGGTCTGAAGATGACATCATGGTAAGAAAATCTTTATGCATATCGAATTTAGTTGTATTTTTTTTTTTTTTTTAAATAGCCTTTTTAACACTTATTTTTTAAATTTTCATTTTTTTTACATTATTTTTTTATTAATGCAATGCTGCCAGTCTATCAAAATAATGACCATTATACTCTTATCAACATTACACTTAAACACTTTTTAATATAAGGAGTTCAGAAAGATGGATTTTGAAGACCATTTTAAATTACTTAGATCTATACAGATTCCAGCTTATTTATTCTTTCCTATTTTGTCCCCCCCCTTTTTAATAACTTTTAAGGTGTTCCTGAAACACTGCTATTTAAAAGCCTTGTTTTTGTCATATAGGAAAATCCAACATGGCGCGTAAACGAAATATTCGGTGAAAAATCTCATTTTAAACACCGCATAGAATGTAAAGTTCTTAAAGCAAACCTATGCCAAACTGTTTTCCTGAATCCTTGATGACTTGGCTGTCCGAAAATGACAACATCAAGATGAAATAATGGAAACTGACCGTGAAAAACACAATTATGCGCAACAAGTTTTCGATCAATCAGTAAACTTCTGGACCTTTTCAGTTGACGTTATAGGATCTAGAGGGCTATTGTTCGCACTGGTAATTAATCTTTGATTTGGCTGGAAAATGTCACTCGGCGGTTAGCATTAAGAAATTATGCCCAATTTTCTGAGAAAAATCACCGTTTTTGGTGGGGGGGTATGAAAAAATATTTATTTTCACTTCAAACTTCATCCCTTTCGCTTTCATTTGGCATGAACATCATTGAATAAAAGGAACGGCTAAATGGCCTGGCGATGGGGAAATACAAAAGATATGCGGCGAAAAAAAAACAATGTCGTCTGCTAAGTGTTGTTATCATCTGAGTCACGTGGTGTTAAAAACAAAACCCATCAAGCCATTGTTCAAACATAGGTTCTATCAAGCCCTACTAATGTTGACCCTTTTTTTTCACTCTTTGCTCTTATCTGGGAGTGGTTGGTTTTATTACAACTTGTTCTAAACATTTATTGCTGGCTGGCTGACCTTTGACCCAGAGATGTCAGTCAATTTGGTTTAATTTTCCTTATCACTGCTAGGTGTGGGGGGGGGATTTAGTTTTCTGGTGGTCAGGAATTGCAGATAAATCTTTCGCCTTTTACTAAAGATTTCCGTGGCAGGGTGTCAATTGTTTTTAACCCCTGGCAGTCATATAATTGAAAATTACCAATGGACTTTGTCACATTTTGTCCCCTAGGAATGTTGATTTCTTTCAAAACTCAATTTTATGCCTGAAATAGTTTGATTATGAGTAAGGTTTTCGGATTTTCAAAAAAAAAAAAAAAAATGTTAATTTCCCATTAATGGGGAAAAATTTTGTTTAGAACTAGAAAAAAAATGCAAAATTTTCACTATTTTTTCACATTTTATCCCCTGAAAAAAAATTTTGAGTCATTTACACCAGCCAATTTTACTTTTAAATGAAAGAATATATCCTTTGTTTTCATAAAATACCTAGTTTCATGGGGTTCAGATAAAGTTTCCTTGATATTTGTTTAGGTGATTTTTCAATATTTTACCCCTATAAAAGTATGAAAATCCTTTTTTTTTTTTTTTTTTTTTTTTTTTTTTTTGAGAGAAAATAAGCTGTGACAAACCTAAATTGACTTTATTTAAGTTCAGTGGGGCTATAGGAAACCTCAAAGAGGTGTGGTAAACATGTATAGACATTTATATTTGAACAAAACACCTTATCACTGTCTGACTTTCTGGAATGACAGGACAGTAGAATGAGGACAGTCTCCCCACTGTAAAGGGTTCAGTTTGTAATTCTCTGTATCGATATACACCTGATGAAGGCCAGAGGACACAACGTCCGAAATATTGTGATAACAGCAACAAAGATAAGGGCCTTACGTAGGTTATGTTTTGACCATTGTGCCCAACAGGGGTTTGCTGATCCAGGTGACCTTCAGAGAATGTTGGACTGAACCATGGCGATCTTTATTTAAGACCATGTTATCATGCTTGTCTCACCCAGAACTGGAGGCATATCTTAAATCTTGTTATTCCACTGGGAGCAAAGATTTTGAGTTTTGTTTTAGGTTTGCTGAGATATTCAAAGAAAAGAGTAGTTTAAGAACTCATTTTATTTAGCTCAACACTTAATCCACTTTATCAAGGTATTTTTTTTTTTCCTTTATTAAACTCATATTACAATTAATATATAATTTAGTTGACTTTTGGATCCATCACTTCCCACTCTGTTAACAATAGTATATGGAATGTTATGCATTAAACAAAAACCATATTTGGGGCTGTGAATTCTGGAACAAAAATATGACCTGAAACAAAGTAAAAATGAAAGTAACTTTTTTTTTTTTAATTGTTTACTAATGAAGTATGCTGACTTATTTGGTCAAAAATACACTTTTTTTATGATTATAGAAGTTGAAAAGTAGGAGCAGAAAAAAATGTGTGGTTTAGCAGCAGGGTTAGTATTATGTACACCCACCTCATTTCAGTCAGTTTTGCCATGCGTGATACACACTGAGGCAATCATGTATCTTTCAGTACATGACTGACGAGGCAGATTTTTTCCCGCAGTAGGTTGCCATTTCTTTCAGCGGTAGACTAGTTGCCATCCAGTGCTGTAGAACCCAGTCTCCTGTTATTTATTCAAAGCTGTGGGGAGAAGAGGTGGATTCATGCCTTTCCCAATGATATTAGCACGTAAGTGAATGTAATGGATTTGACTGGAATTTGAACTGCTATCCATTACTCCACCTCATTTACAATATCTAAAAACATCAGATTAAATTTATTGAATTATGCCATTAACTTCCTATAACAATATCCTCAATAGATGATTTTTCATTAATTTTGTAGTATAAAATGTTTTTTTTTTGTTTTTTTAACTGTAAACTAAAATTCAACATTTTTTTCTTTTCTACATACCATTTAGAAAGGAAAACACGTTATCGAAAAAATTAACTTTTATCAATACATTTATGAATAACAGTATCAGAAAAAAAATATTAAATTAACTTTATGTAACAAATAGCATTTCTAAATAAATTTTGCCATGTAAAAACAGAATCAAAAAGTTTTTCAAAGAAAAGTCTGTTAAAAATTAAACATTACAAAACAATATTAAAATTAATCTTCTTGGGAGAGACTATGTAATATTTGTAATAAGAAATACTAGAAAAATAGTATTAATAAATTATTTCTTTAAATCAAGTAAAATTGTTATAAGAAGTGTGGTAAAAATTCATGCTTTTTTTCATTGGTTTCTTGTTGAAGATCTTACTTAGAGGTTTGTTTTTGTGGAAGTGTTTATTTATTAATTTTAGAAAATGCAGTCCAATATTAATATTTGACAGTTTACAGAAGGTGGAGTTGAACTAAATTATTTTTCTTTTTCTATTTCTACATCTCATTTCTGGTATTTCGGTACTACCTATAGGGATTAAGTAATTTTTGAAACCACCTTGTGGAGAGCCTTTCCATTAATTATTAAAATTGGACAATAATTTACTAATTCTGGTGCAAATGGTGGTAGGCATTGGGGTAGTTAGAACTAACATTAGTATAATTGAGGGTTTCATTCTCTTTATGGTAAGGTTGTAAAGGTTTTATTATTAAGGTTAAGGATGATATCTAGGTAATCAACAATTTTAAGGTTAGAAAAAAATCTTAAACCCTAATAATTTAAAAGCCCTAATGATTTTCTTTGTAACTTCACTGTTAGTGGACCATTATATTAGAGATTAAGATGAGTCTGTCATCCTTTATATAGTCCTACTAGTTCCAGCTTTACAATTCTACTAAGCACATCTAAAATATAAAAACATACTAAATCAGCAACCTGGGCTGAGTCATACGCTTCCATGGGGACATCAAATTTTTTATTGTGGCACTTAGAATTATTCAGTGTTAGCAGCGATTTTGTAGCCATTAAGATAATATTAGTTTCATCATCCGTTATTTCCATATAGTCCTTTACAAAGTTGATACTATTAACTAGGAGGTCCCTAGTGATAGAGAAATAGAAAATCTATTATGTCAAACTTAATGAATGTAACTTGATCCTTATTTCTCATATTGGTAAACCATTTAAGAGTATCTGACAAATCCATCCAAAGGTTAGTACAGGTTGTGATTAGTAGTTTATCAGTTATTTTTTTAATTATATTTTTTGAGATTAGATCTAGTTCAGTTTTAGTTGGGTTTATTAGTCTAGATTGTGTACTGCTAGTGAAATTCCGTTTATGGTCCTTAAATAAAATGTAGGCATCTTTAGTATGGATCTTTCTCGCTCTATCGGCAATATTTAACTTATTGGCTATTTCGGTATTTTCTGTATCGATCTCGGATATCTTACTGTTGTATCTATCTAGTTTGTGTGTGTCTGTTATTTTTGTTTGTGAGGATTTTGTGGTAGTGTGAAGGGTTACATCTATAAATATTTTTAGATTTATCGGATCTTACCCAAATGTCTTTGGAGTTTCTAATAGTCTTTATGTCCTTTAGTTCTTTTTGGAATTGGTTGAATTGCTTGTTGAATTTCATTTTTTTTTTTTTTTTTTTTAACTATGTCAAACATGTCTCTTTCAAAAGGATCCAGGAGTTTACAGGAAGGTGGAGTTTGTTGGATTTTTAGATTGAAGGTTTCATATTTGTGATTTGGTGTTTCAGAGGTGTTAAGGTACAAAAATGCTTTCCATCAGTCTCTTCACGTCATTTTTTTTTCCCTAGTACTACAGTTTTAGCTGATCCTGTTTTCACAAAGTCAGATCCTAAGCCTTTATTTCTGCCCCAGATTAAATAATGATTTCAGTTCAAAATTCCCTTAAGTTTACCTGGATAAGCATACCTAAAAATGTCACAAAGGTTGAAATGTGCTAACAACAAAGATGTGTATCATTAGTCCAAATGTAAATAATGCCTCATCCCAGAAATTCAGAGAATAGGTATTAACATTCTCTTAGATTGCGT